GGCCGCCCGGGGCCGGGGGCAGGCCCTGGTGGTGGTCCTACTTCACGGCGCTGAGCCAGCACAAGCCGCGCTGGCTGCTCAAGTACTAGGTGCTGCCCGGGCTCCCGGTCTGTGTCCCAGCGCATCCCAGAGGGCTGTGTCCACTCATTAAAGTATTTTATCTCCTTACAAACCTGCTGTGTGAGCACCTGCTGGGGACCAACTGGACCCTGGCCGAGTGAGGCCCCCTGGTGGCCACTCTCGGGCTGCCATTCAGACCCGCCTGTGCGTGGTCCCGGAAGCAAGGGGGGCTCTACGTTACAGAACCGAGCTCGCGGCCCGCCCGCGGTCACGCGTGGAGAGAGGGGTGGTGCAGGAGCCCAGGCTCTGGCCCTGCTGCTGAGGGCTGTGTCTGGGAGGGTGTGGAGGTGGGATGCTGGGGGAGGGGAAAGGTCAGGTGCCTGGCTGGGACGGGGGGCAGCAGGTAGCCCCCTCAGGGTCCAGGCCCCAAGGGCAGGAGAACTGGCGAGGACCTAGAGCCCGTCCGTCCCTCCAGGGTCGCGATGTGCAAGGATCAAGGGAGTCCATGGCCCAGAGGCCATCTGAGGGAAGGCCCGCTGACTCAGGACACAGCCCCGGGGGAGGCTGGGGAGGGTCTGCCCACGGTGCTCTCTGAGACTGAGGAGATGCCAGAGCCACGGGGCCCGGGGCCGGGTTGAGGAGACTCGGGGGAGTCATCTGGGTTCCTGGGAGCCATGGCGGCGGCTGCGGGAGCTGGCCTGGCGGGAGCGGCCTGCCTGCCCGGGGTTGCGGGTGGCTGTGGGTGGCTGTTTCAATTTCCTATCATACCCAGAACAGGGAGCCTGGCCTGCAGGTGGGGAGAGGGAAGGTGACCTCGTGGGGGTCGCTCCTGGGTGTGAGGAGGAGAGGGAGGTGAACAGCACCCCGAGCAGCAGCAAGGCGAGGGGGAGTACAATGCCGACCGCCAGGCGCGGGCCTGGGCGGAGCCCTCTGGTACAAGGTGAGACCACAAACCGGGGTTTAGGAACAGGCAGCATGTGCTTAGGGAAGGGGGTGCAGGAGGCCAGGGATGAAGAGTGACTGAAAAGAGGGGGTGCCGAGGGGGTGCCGGGAAACGCGCCGGACTGAGCCCGGGGGTTCCTCTTCAGTCTGGAGAAGGCGAACGGAAGGCCACACTCACAGGGGCAAGAAAGACATTCTGGAGAATGAAAACAGTTTATGGGTCGATGAAACATAAATCTGTGCTATACGCTAATCAGCTTAGCCGCTGACTCCATGCAGCGAGTTATTTAAAAATACAAGAAGAATGGGATAAAGGCAGGATTCTGCTAGGGACTGCAATGTTCAAACCACTCATCCAGCAGACGATAAAGCAGTCATTCCGTTAGAGAAATGGAATCACAATCCACAAACTCAATTTAATAGCTTGTGTACAAAACATTTCTTACTTCAGAGGTTATGCAT